TGATTTATTCTTTTATAACGCTCTCAACGAAATTCGTTTTTCGTCAAATTTTTTTGGCAGAATCTGATTTTCGTCGAAAAGTTCATATATATAATTTCTTTTTTCATTTATTTTTTTATAAGGATTTTCGACTTAATTCATTGTTCATCGAATATTTTCAACGAATCTGATTTTCGTCGAGAAGTTCATAAATATTATTTCTTTTAGCATTTATCTTTTATAAAGTTTTGGACGGAATTTTTTTTCCGTCTAACGAAATTTGATTTCCGTTGAAAGATTCACAAATATAATTTCTTTTAACATATATTTTTTAAAAAGTTTTCAATCGAATCCATTTTTTGTGAGTAATTTTTTACGGAATCCATTTTTCGTCAAAAAATTTTGACGAAATATAATTTTCATCAAAAACTTCGTCGGAATGTGTTTTCGTCGAAATTGTCGTGATTTATTTTGACAAAATATTTTCCGTAAAAATTGAGACTTTTCTAGTAGTTCATCAATATGATATTAGTGGTACCAACATATAGGTGTCTTTTAAGTTAACAAAACATGAAGAAAAAAAAAAGGTTGGTTTGAATCGACCTGAAGAATGGACTATTGAACAACGTCTAAAATCAAACTAGATCTCTTATTACAATAAATAAATAAATATTAAGATACTCAAATGTTGGTTACATTTAGTATATTAGTATTTTGCTACTTGGTTTAGTTCGAGTGATGAAAATTGATAGAATTTTGTGTTACGGAGTAGAAGTTTGAGTTGAAAAGTTGCATCTTTTCACTACCGAATAGGTGTGATTCAAATCGTGAATTTTACTTTTTATAAATATGAAGGGAATAAATTTTTTTGAGATTTTGATTTTCTCACTCGTTTTGTATATATTCATATACATTTGTATCCTCTTACTCCACCGCAATTCTTTAAGCATTCGATTGTGTTAGAGGAGGCTCTTGATCTTAAGTACAATCGTTCTTGAGCGAGCTCTGTTTTATCCTAAGAGACGGTTGTCCAATGTCCTTGGGACCGATAGAAGGGACAAATCATTTTAAGGAAACAACTTCGGTTGGGCTCTGAATCTTTTGCATTGGTTATTCAATCATAGTACTATGAGTTTGTTCTATATTTATATTATGGATGAATTGATATTTCGATTTATTGATTGATCCTTGAACACAAATTACACAGAAGATTCAATATTGATTATTTGGAAAAGTTCAAAAATTCTCTTATGATTTTGCTTTGAATCACTTACACCCCTATATATATATAATCAATTACCCCCTTTGATTTCTTCCATCGAAACTTATCCTTAACATTGTTATAAACTTTAACTAATCTGTTTATTTTACCTTTCTTAGAAGAAGAGAATAAACTGATGACAAAAAAACGAAAATATAAGACAAAATGTTGAAAATTTACTACACTTATAGAAAGGACTAAAAGAAAAAAAAATCAAATATGTTTAAATCAAAAAGAAGAAAATAAATTAAGTGCAATAAAAATAGAAGAAAAAATAAGACCAAATATGTTAAAAACTTACAACAGTGACAGAAAAGCATAAAAATAAAAAAATAAAGAAATAAAAATAGTCTAAATAAAAAAAGAAAATAAACTGTAGACAAAAAAGAAATAGAAGAAAAAATAAAACAAAAAAGAAATAGAAGAAAAAGAAATCACTTTTATAAGTTTTTAACATATTTGATTTTATTTTTCTTGTATTTTTTATTTTTTATTCTCATTGTTTTGATTTAGATATATTTGAGCTTTTTTTCTTTTATTTTTATTTTTTTTACACTTTTAGTCTTTTCTATCAACGTTAAAAGAAATGAAAGAAAAAATAAGACAAAAAAGAAATAAAAGAAAAAGAACTCAGTGTTGTAAATTTTTAACATATTTGGTCTTATTTTTTCTTCTATTTCTTTTTTCGTATTCAGTCTATTTTCTTTTTCTTTTTTTAATATAGACTATTTTCATATTTTTTTACTTTAGTCTTTTGTGATACTGTTATAAGTTTTCAGTATATTTGATTTGATTTTTTCTTTTTCTTTTTGTTCTCAGTTTATTTTCTTCTTTTTGATTTAAAAATATTTAATATTTATTTTCAATTTTTTTAGTCTTTTCTATAAGTGTTGTAAGTTTTTAACTTTTTTGTCTTATTTTTTTTTATCATCAATTTATTCTCTTCTTCTAATAAGGATAAAATAGACAGATTATTTAAAAATTTTAACGATGTTATGAATGAGTTTAAATGGAAGAAACTGTAGAGGGATAACTGATTAAAAAAAATATAAAGGTATAAATGATTCAAAGTAAAACTATAAGAAGATTTTTGAACTTTTCTCTTAATTCTTAATTACATTTTCTATAATAAAAATAACATAAAGACTTTGAGTTGAGTCACGGGTGACTAGTTTATATATTATTGAAGTCATAAAATAGCTTTATATTCATTTATAGATGCAGGAAATATGTGCATCATAAATTGCGTCTAGATGTTTCTTTCTTTTTAATTGATGAATTTAAAAAAAAAATTATGCTTTCTTATTTATTATTATCATTGTTTTTTTTGTTATTTAATTTATTATTTTGGAGGACGTGTGTATTGCCAAAAAAATTAAATTAATTACGAAGTAACGAACCGATTAAAATATTAAAAAAAAAAAAACACAGTCCTTTGTAAACACGCTAACTAGATTGTCTAAAACATATAAAGTAGAAACAATGACAAACAATAGGAAAAAGAAACCAAAAATTACCACAAAGAAGAAGAAAAAGAAGAGTTGGGGGGGGGGCGGTAAGAATGAGGAAACCAAGTAAATGATTGTAAATGACAGTGATATGATCTGACGGTTCATGTGCAACCACGTCAGAACTCTGTCCCCAATGTCAGACGATGATTAGGTCTACAATGAAAGAAACGAACACGTGGCAGACAACAATTGGGTCCCGCACTCAAGTGTGAAAAAAGGATTTTGAACAACCTGACTGAAAGGAAAACTTTCTGCTTTGGACACCCTCGATGGGAACAGATTCCATATATTGGCAGATCTATATAACAAGAGAGGAATGGGTTTGGGACCCCTCAAAAGATAATATTTCCTTGGACCCACTTAAGATTTCAAATATTTGCTCTGTGGGACCCCCTTTTTGGTCCCAATTCCCAGCCTTTATTTATTTCTTGTACCCTTTACTATTTCTTATGCAAACATTAAATGGTATTTTATTAATGTAATGTGCATTCTATGACATTCTTGTATGCATAGTAGTGGTCCCTCTATTATTTTTCATTTCTGTTTTTTTGAATAGATCTTTAATTATGAAAATTCTGATAATCTTGTTGGATTGCGTGATGTGACTTGTTTACCCAAAGTGAACAATATATTGAAGGTGAGTAGAGATTTATTCCTTGTTTTTACTCTTCCCAATTTGAATTGGAACTTGACTGCAAACAATTTTTTGGATCAGGTCTTGGACGATGTCAACATTGCGTCCAATTTAAGGTAAACACACATCTTTTTGTGATATTCGGTGGGATTTCATGAAGATTTTGTTATTGTTGTTTGCCTGATTTAGGATGTAAAGTCGCTAACAATATTAATTAGAATAGGATATCATACTAGTAAGCGAAAATTCACAAAAGAAAAGAAGATAAAATATCACAATAATAACATAGGCTGAAGCTATTAGGAATAGGAGTTCATAAAATCTTTATTATCTATATGTTAACTTGTTTATATGTATATATATCCAGAAAAATAATCTTCCACTTCATATTATTATGACAAATTCTCAATTTAATGTTTTTGTGTTGAAAGACAATATTGACCTGCAAACATTGACTACTTATTCAAGTTGATTTCAAACATCTACGATTTATTCAATGTTTGTGTCTGACCGAATGAGTTTGCCATATATAACTAGTTGATGGGTTTGAGCATGTAATATATATAACATCAATAATGTAATTTCTTCAATTTTTTTATAAGAAAAAGATAAATACAAAAAAATATTTCAGTTCCGAACTTCACAATAAAAAAGAGATCAGCGGCAAAAGTGATTAGGGTTGCATGAAAGGATGAGTGAAAATTCTTCATTTGTTAATTTGATAACTTTAAGAAAGAAAAAAAAAACTATGCGCTACAAATTGTCCTTTTTTTAATAACAAAATGATCCTATGAATAAGGGGTCACATCCTACATTCCTTAACAAAATATTAGGCTGAGGTGAGATTTTCTGCTAGTTGGGGCAAAGTCTCCTTAATTATCTCACTCCATGCATGCTATTTAGATTTAATGCATAGCACTGTGTATTTTACAATGGAAAATTAAACAAAAGTAGGTAGACAATCAAGAATATTAAAATAAGATGAAAGTGAAGAAAATAAACCCCACTCACTGTCACTGGAAAAATTAACATATGCAGTTGAGAAAATTAAGATGAAAGTAATAGCAGTTTAATTAGTTAGGAAAGAAGGTTGCTTTAATTTTCAAAGTCATGCAGATAATTAGAATAATCCAATCCAATCCACACACAAATTCAACTCCCTTTCCATCATCATGATGACCAAATGGGAACAAGGATCTTGGGGTTTTTCCTTAGCAATCAAATAAAATCCAATTGAAAGGGGAAGGAGAGAGAGAAGTTATGTGTGGTGGTTGTACCAACGCGATAGAGAGAATCTTGGTAGAAGATCTCACAATGAAGCACACACAAAAACAACAACAACACATCCTTGTCACTGTGCCACCACAGTTTTTTCTCTCATGCACCCACTAATAACCAAAAAACAAAAAAAAAAGTTACAAGATAATTACATTCCACCTCTCATTCCCATTCATCACGCTTCTCTCTCTCTCTCTCTCTCTCTCTCTGGTATCCGTGCGTGACACTGAATTACTGATATATATATTTTAACGAGTTATATATATATATATATATATATATATATATATATATATATATATATATATATATATATATATATATTGCAAGACAACAGATATGATCAACAAGAGTGTTCATCAGCTATTCAAACCTGATATGGAGATTGTGGATACCAGAAAACTACAGCTACAAAAGGAGCAGCATTTTCATGTGCTGGCAGTAGATGACAGTGTCATAGATAGGAAGCTTTTGGAGAGGCTCCTTACAGGTTCTTCATGCAAAGGTAGGTAGCTTATACCCTTTGTTCATTAATTTCTTCTCAATTCCCAGGATTTTGTGTCAACGTCCATTTCATTTATGATTTTCTGGTTATATATGTATATATGTGGGTGTGTGTTTGATTTGTTAAGCAGTTACCTGCGTGGATTCTGGAGACAAGGCTTTGAAATACCTTGGCCTGATTGATGACCTTGATAATACTTCCTCTATGTCTTTGGAGTCATCACCTTCTCCTCCTCAACCATTACAGCAAGAGGTATATAATTAATTAGTGTGTTAGATATGTACTACATTTGAGCCAAGCTATTAGTTGGAATTGTAGCTTATATATATTTATAGGGATTTTTATATCCAATGTCAAAGTTTTTGCTTCCGAAAGAAAATAAAGAAATTAAATTAAAGTTTACATTCTATGTGCTTGTTTTGTTTTCGTACATCAAAATTATTATCACAACAAAAACCTGTGCTTAATTTTCTTGTTACAAAGCGTTTTCAAAACAAGGCTAGACCGTCGGTTATTTATAAATGGCATGCATTTCATCATGGTACAGCATTATTTCTTTTATATAAGTTATTTTTTCCTTCTTAAATTATAGAATTCAATTACCAAAATGCCTTCTAAATCTTTACTTTTTTTTTAAAGTGATGTATGGACACGTACTGATAATTAAGGGTTACAAAAGATGGGATTTGGGAATATCTTTCTCCTAAAATTAATTACCTTCAACAAGATACATTATATAGTTTTGAATAATGAGGGGGTTTCTGGAGTTGTTGGTTAAACAACATGGAATTCTTGTGGAATCGCATACCGGACTTGTTAGGAAGGCAAATCTAATCAGAAAGATAAAGTGACTTTCTATAGAGCTCAACATCTCTCTTTCATCACTACTCTCTATTCATTTAGGTTGCGCATGCATATCATGTATCAAAATGCACTATGATATATGGATCTCAACATAAGAGAGCATAATTATAGTAGTTATGCATGATTCTGTATGCTAGTTAATTTCTTAAAGACCCAATAGCATTAATCAGCAAGCATTTGATCAGTTCGGAATTAAAAAAAAAAAAAAAAAAAAAGAGGAAACTTTTTCATCACACTGTACGTACTCCTAATTATTATTTTGATTCACATTGCCATGCCATAATCGTATCTACTCTTGTGTCTTCTATTTTCTTTAAATCTCTCTTTTGGAAAAAGGGTATGCAAAGGCTTTAGTATCCAACGTTCAATTTGAGATTTGCTAGTTATAGTGGGGGTGAAATAATTCAAATTAATACTTAATGGTAACATGTAATTGGTGTTGAATCTTTTGAATTGCAGGGAATCAAAGTGAATTTGATCATGACAGACTATTGCATGCCTGGGATGAGTGGCTATGATTTACTTAAACGAGTCAAGGTCAAAACACAACTCTTATTCCCCGACATCTTCCCGAAATTCCCTCTTTCTTTTTTAGCTTGAATAGCATATGCACATCCAAACTGAAAAAGATGCCAAACATTCCCTTCTCCTTTAATCAACAGCGGGACTTTTTAATCTTCTCATTCACTTGCAGAGTGCAAAAACTAGTTAGTTTTTACTTGATTGATTTTACTTTTATTCAGCATTATAACTTTCTTTCTTTTTTATACGGGTAGTTCTGCAATTTTCAGTAAAAAGAAAGAGAAAGAAAAAGGAAAAGATCCAGATTTGAGGCTCTAAGTTTGCTTTTGCTTTTATCTTTAATTTCTTTTTATTTATTTATTATTTTTTGTTTTTCCTTTCTTTCTTCTTTTGACATTGGTTACAGCTGCAGGGATCTTCTTGGAAAGATGTTCCAGTCGTGGTTATGTCATCAGAAAATGTACCTTCCAGAATCAGCATGTAAGTTTTTCTTTTCTTCATTTTGGAAAATGTTCAGTTTTTCTCTTTATTATTTACATATCCCAAAGACTTCTTCATGCATGAGAAAGACAAAGAATTATAATATTTTAATATTTACCTTAATCTGTTGCAAATTCATTTAAATAACATGGGAATTGGATAATTGAAATTTAAAAAAAATGTTACAAGAAAAAAAATTATATTATTACTTTTCCGTGATACGTGTAATTACATCAATAATTTAACAACTTCGTTTGATGATATCGATAGGTGCTTGGAAGGAGGGGCTGAGGAGTTTCTATTGAAGCCTCTTCAGTTATCGGATTTGGAGAAGCTTCAACCATACTTTCTGAAATCCCTTGATAATTCTCGTGAACAAGAATCTGCTAACAGTTCCATAGATTCCGACACTGACAATCTCATCATCAACAACAATAACAGTAACAATAACAATAGTATTATGAGCAAAAGGAAGGCCATGTCTCCTGAGCTTCCCGAGAGATCAAGAACCAAAATGAAAGGGTTGGCGGTGGTGTGAAAAAAGAACACTATAGAGAGTGGTTTATGCATATTATATAGTTTATGATTATATATATATGATCCTAATTATGGTTTTCTCCTCAACTCAAAGAGCTTAATGAATTCCCAGTGCTAATTATTTACCGTCAGCGTTTTCGCATGTTGGGTGCCATTGCCAAAAATGACATTTGTGAGGATGAAATACTCGTATATTACTTAGTAAGAATGCTAATTACTGTTCACATTTTTCTATACATATTTATACATAAATTGTCTATTTATTATAATTGTTGAGATATATTGATAGACAAGGCTATCTTCGACAGAATTACAGAAAAGAAAATATACTGAATATGATATTATCCACGGCAAATTCGAGAACGCCGGCAACTCCAGGGGTTTTAGCGAGAGAGAAAACAGAAGTTTGTTACAAGATTTTTGGATGAAAAAACCCCTTGTGGTCCCTTATGTATTATATGTAAAAACTGAATGTAAATTCCTAAAGAAAATACGATTGGGCTTGATTATCATATCTTCCACCCCTTTTATTTTAATAGACTAGGAAAATAGTTAATGGGCCACTAACTCAGCCCAATAACCCTTTTATCCTCCTTTTGTTACTTCAGCCACTTGTTGAGCCCAAATAATCCTTGAACCAGACAGGTGTCTTCCTCTCCCTTTTCTCCAACATGCGTGTTCCACGTTTGTCCTTACCTGTCTCCATCTGATCAACCTTGTTCTTCAGCTCTTGGTCTAAGTCAGCTAAGCCACCATCCTCCATATTTAGGGGAGTGATTGAAGGTGTTCTATCATTTCCCTTCGCCCTTGAAGAATCGATCTTGTCCTCAAGATCAAAACCTGGATAAGCCTGACAGAACTCAGTGGAAGAGACCCAAGTTGCATCTTCCAACGGCAGTCCTTCCCACTGTACCAAAAGTTGCAAACTTTCTTCTCTACCATGCTGTATGACACGGGTCCGGAGTATAGCCACCGGTTTAGTGAGCGGATGATTATCCCAACTCGTCGGGGGAAGCGGAGCTGAATGAAAGGACAGATTTTGCCAGTAGAGCTTAAGAAGCGACACATGAAACACCGGATGAATTCGCGATTCGGCCGGTAGATCCAGTCGGTAAGCTACTTAACCAATTCGCTCCGTTATGCTAAAAGGACCATAGTAACGGTGCCTTAGCTTTGAATAGGAGTGATTACGGACAGATCGTTGCCTGTACGGTTGTAGCTTTACAAGCACTAAGGTACCTACTTCAAATTGCACATCTCGTCTCTTTTTATCCGCTTTTAATTTCATTCGATGTCTGGTTCTATGCAGGGTTTCCTAGAGCTGTCGAATGATGGCATCTCGGCGGATCAGAAGTTCATCAACAGCCTCAATGGAGGAAGTTGTTCCTTCGTACGGTGGTATACTGGGAGGTGCTCTACCATATACGCTTTGAAAAGGGGAAACTCCTATAGCAGAGTGATAAGCAGAATTGTAGGAAAATTCTGCGCATGGCAGGTACTACGCCCATTGCTTAGGTGTTTCCATAGCATAGCACCTTAAATATTGTTCAAGACCTCTGTTTGTGACTTCTGTTTGACCGTCTGTTTCAGGATGATTAGCGGTGCTGTAGCACAGCTTGGTGCCGCTCAAACGTGCTAGTTCAGCCCAAAACTTGCTCACAAAGATACTGTCCCTATCAGTCACTATGGAACGAGGGATCCCATGCAAACGGAAGATATTCTCCACAAAAACTGAAGCTATCTTAGTGGCTGTGAAGTTCGGGGGCAGGGCTATAAAATGGGCATACTTGGAGAGGCGGTCCACCACGACCAATATGGTTGTCTTGCCCTCTGAGGTGGGAAGTCCAACGATGAAGTCCATTGACAAGTCTTCCCAGATGGCCAGAGGTACGGTTAGGGGCTGTAGTAACCCTGCTGGTGACATTGGTTGGTATTTTGTTGCCTGGCAAATGGGACAAGTTCTTACAAACTCTTGAACATCCCTTTTCAGGTTCGGCCAATAATAGATGGGAAGTATCCTCTGGAGCGTCTTCTTCACTCCCCCATGTCCCCCAATCAAGGATGAGTGGAACTCATGCAAAATAACTGTGCGGAGTTCTGAATTGGAAGCTATAGTAACTCTCCCTTTGTAAAGTAGCAGCCCTTCTCGCAGGTTGTAATGTTCATATCCTTCAGCACCACTTTCCACTTTAGCTTTCAATTGAATTAACTCTGCATTCTTTTGACCTTCTGCCTTTATTTGCTCAATCAGGTGGTGGGTAACTTGTGTGTGGTTTACCTGTGTGAGGACCATTGCAGATGCATGCTCTGAGTTCCTAGCTGGTTCAGTCTCTGATTTTTGAGATAGGGCGTCAGCCACTTTGTTTACAGCCCCAGGATAGTATTCTATAGAGTAGTCAAACCCAAGTAGCTTAACCAAAAAGCGTTGTTGTTCAGGGGTTTGGATAATCTGCCCCATCATGTCTTTTAGGCTTTTCTGGTCAGTTCTAATGGTAAAAGGTCCCCCTAGTAGGTATTGTCTCCACTTTGATAAACCCTATGTGATGGCAAACATCTCTCTTACATAGGTTGAGGCCTGTTGCATCTTAGGATTGAGTTTCTTGCTGAAATATGCTATAGGTCTGTTGTCCTGACTTAATACAGCCCTCACTCCAATGCCTGATGCATCGGTAGTCAAAACAAATCGCTTAGTGAAGTCTGGTAATGCTAGAACAGGTGAGTTGGATAATGCCTTCTTCAGCTCAAACATGGCATGGTCAGCCTTATCACTCCAAATAAAAGCATCCTTGTGTAACAAGCAGTCAAGGGTGCTGCAATTTGAGAAAACCCACGAACAAATTTTCTGTAGTAACCAGCCAAGCCTAAGAACCCACGTAATTGTTTCAGGTTGGATGGTTTATTCCAATCCATGATGGCTTTTATCTTCCCCATATCGGGTCTTACCCCTTTGTTGTCCACCACGTGACCCAAGTACTCTACTTCCACTTGAGCAAAGGCACATTTGGATCTCTTGGCATACAGCTGATTCTGTCTAAGGCAGTTCATAACCTTTCGTAGGTGCTCCACATGTTCCCAAACTGATTTAATATAAATCAGTATGTCATCAAAGAACACGATGACAAACTTGCGCAGAAATTCCTTGAGAACCGAATTCATTATACCCTGGAAAGTGGTTGGGGCGTTGGTGAGCCCAAAGGACATCACAATGAACTCGTAGTGCCCTTGATGTGTCCTGAAGGCTGTTTTATACACATCCTCAGGAGCCATTCTGATTTGGTGGTACCCTGAGCGTAGGTCCATTTTAGAGAAAATTACTGCTCCTGCTAACTCGTCTAACATTTCATCTACTGTAGGGATTGGAAATCGGTTTGGTATAGTTACTTGGTTCAGGGCTCTATGATCAACACAGAACCTCCAAGTTCCATCCTTCTTCTTGACAACAAGGCTGGAGATGAGAACGGGCTCAAGCTTGGTCTAATAACTCTAGTATCCAACATTTCCTTAACCATTTTTCCAATTTCTAACTTTTGAAAATACGGGTACCTGTATGGTTTAACATTGACTGCCTTGGTGCCAGGTTCCAGGTGGATTCGGTGATCTTCCACTCGGGTGGGTGGTAATTGTGCGGGCCTTTCAAAAATGTCTGCATACTCAAGCAGTACTGGCCGTATCATGGGAGGGCAGTCCTCATCTTCAAGCTGTTCCCCTGAGACTTGGTGATCAATAGTCTCCATTTGGAAGTAGGTGGCCACAACATCAGAATTGGTTAACTTGCGTAGTTGATGTAGTTCTATGGTTTCCACCTGCATCCTGCTTTCTCCTTGCAACTCAACTGTCTCTCCTGCTCTTTCAAATTTCAGCATTAGCTGTTGGTAATTGGTGGTAACATCTCCAAACTCCTACAGCAATTGCACTCCTAGCACCACCTCAGCTCCTCTGATTGGCAGCACAAATAAATCTGGAGAGAATTTGTAGCCTTGCAACTCTAATTCTACCCGTTGACACACCCCTTTACATCCCAGACGAGCTCCATTTCCAACTAGTACATGGAACTGTTTGATGGGTTTCACCTCTAACCCCAGAAATTTTACCATCCTCTCTTGCACAAAGTTATGAGTGGACCCTCCATCCACCAACACTTGGACCGAATGCTTGTTGATGACTCCTCTCAACCGTAGAGTGCTAGAGGAATATTGGCCCTCCATAGCATGTAAACTAATGCCAGGCACCTCCTCATCACCTCCTATTTTTTCGTTTACAACTTCCATTTCCTCCTCTTTTTCCTCCTCTTCATTTTCTGAAACCAACATTAATAACATGTTTCCCTTGCAGATATGGTTCCTGTGGAATTTTTCATCGCAATAGTAGCAAAGGCCTTTTTCTCTCCTGGCCAGCATTTCAGCAGCTGATAATCTTTTAATGGGCACGATCTCCTTTGATGGCCCCGCAGTATTGACCACTCCCCTTGGTGGTGTGGGTAATAAGCCAGGCTGTGATCTAACCACCTGGTTACTGGAAAAATTTCTTTGGTATCCCAATCGTGCAGGAGCTTTGTCACTCAACTTATCTTCAACCACCTTAGCTAGTTCAATAGCATTCTGTAATGTCTCTGGAAGGTGCATCCGAACTTCCTTTCGAATTTCAGCCTTGAGACCATTTTCAAAGTAACTCTGTAAGGTAATGTCATCAATCCCTATGATTTGGTTAGACATCCGTTCAAATTCTTGCTGGTAACTCTCTACTGTTGTATTCTGTATCAATCTTCCTAATTCGCCTCTGAGATCCCTATATTTGGACGGACCAAAACGGGACCGTAATGCTACCACGAAGGCATCCCACGTTGTCAATCTGTGGCTCCTTTCCATCCAGTGAAACCATTCTTCAGCAGCTCCATCCACTTGGAAGGACGTCAAGGTGAGCTCATCCCCATCGTTCAAATTATGGAATCCGTAGAATTGTTGAATTTTATGGATCCAAGGTTCAGGATTACCTCCTGCAAATCTCGGCACTGAGAATTTAACCGATTTGTATGCATTGTTTCCAAAAAAAGTACTCAGCCCCGTTTCGTTACTGCTTCCTCCTTTCATCTCTGGTTTATTTTTCTGATTTTGGTCTAACTTGGCTTCCATTAATGTCAGCTTCAGGTTCATGCTCTGGAGTATTTCCCCAAAAGCGTTGAACTGTTCTTCATGGCGAGCAATTTTTTTGATGCATTATTCCATCAT